CAAACTTTTACTCGGGTAAAACCCGGGCGAAGCCGGGTACGTCCGCTAGTAAAATAATAAAATATCAATAATAATATAATAATAACAATTATTATTATTATCATTAGATAATGATAATGATCATAATGATTATGCGCGCGCATCCGTGACATGAGGAATTGATTGACGGTGGAAAGACGGTCGTGACTATATATGTTGATAATATAATAATAATAATTATTATTATTATCATTAGATAATGATAATGATCATAATGATGATGCGCGCGCATCCGTGACATGATTGACGGTGGAAAGACGGTCGTGACTATATATGTTGATAATAATAATAATAATAATAATATAATAATAATCATTATTATTATCATTAGATAATGATAATGATCATAATGATGATGCGCGCGCATCCGTGACATGACGGTGGAAAGACGGTCGTGACTATATATGTTGATATTTTGCTTAGCTTGTATTTTACATAATTTAGTGTTACTTGACTTTTACTTACCTATATGTATTACTTATATTTTTCTTAGCGTTTATTTTACATAATTTGGTGTTACTTGGGTTTTACTTCATCTATATATGTATTACATATATTTTTCTTAGCTTGTATTATACATAATTTAGTGTTACCTGAGTTTTACTTACCTATTTGTATTACTTATATTTTGCTTAGCTTGTATTCTACATAATTTGGAGTTACTTGAGTTTTACTTACCAATATGTATTACTTATATTTTGCTTAGCTTGTATTTTACATAATTTAGTGTTACTTGGGTTTTAATTCATCTATATATGTATTACATATATTTTTCTTAACTTGTATTTTACATAATTTAGTGTTACTTGAGTTTTACTTACCTATTTGTATTACTCATATTTTTCTTAGCTTGTATTTTACATGATTTGGTGTTACTTGAGTTTTACTTACCTATTTGTATTACTTATATTTTGCTTAGCTTGTATTTTACATAATTTGGTATTACTTGGGTTTTACTTACCTATTTGTATTACTTATATTTTTCTTAGCTTGTATTTTACATGATTTGGTGTTACTTGGGTTTTACTTCATCTATATATGTATTACATATATTTGTCTTAGCTTGTATTTCACATAATTTAGTGTTACTTGAGTTTTACTTACCTATTTGTATTACTTATATTTTGTTTAGCTTTTATTCTACATAATTTGGAGTTACTTGAGTTTTACTTACCTATATGTATTACTTATATTTTGCCTAGCTTGTATTTTACATAATTTAGTGTTACTTGACTTTTACTTACTTATATGTATTACTTTTATTTTTCTTAGCTTGTATTTAACATAATTTGGTGTTACTTGAGTTTTACTTACCTATTTGTATTACTTATATTTTGCTTAGCTTATATTTCACATAATTTAGTGTTACTTAAGTTTTATTTACCTATATGTATTACATATATTTTTCTTAACTTGAGTTTTACATAATTTGGTGTTACTTGAGTTTTACTTACCTATTTGTATTACTTTTATTTGCTTAGCTTGAGTTTTACATAATTTGGTGTTACTTGAGTTTTACATACCTATTTGTATTACTTTTATTTGCTTAGCTTGAGTTTTACATAATTTGGTGTTACTTGAGTTTTACTTACCTATTTGTATTACTTTTATTTGCTTAGCTTGAGTTTTACATAATTTGGTGTTACTTGAGTTTTACTTACCTATTTGTATTACTTTTATTTGCTTAGCTTGAGTTTTACATAATTTGGTGTTACTTGAGTTTTACTTACCTATTTGTATTACTTTTATTTGCTTAGCTTGAGTTTTACATAATTTGGTGTTACTTGAGTTTTACTTACCTATTTGTATTACTTATATTTAGCTTAGCTTGTAATTTACATAATTTGGTGTTACTTGGGTTTTACTTCATCTATATATGTATTAAATATATTTTTATTGACAAAGCTTGTATTTTACTTTAATTTGATATTACTTGTGTTTTACTTACCTACATATATTACCTATATTTTGCTTAGCTTGTATTTTACCTAATTAGGATATTACTTGTGTTTTAATTTCCCTGTATGAATTATTTTAACTTTGAATTTGCCTCTTTGGGTGTTTCTTGGGTTTTACTATCAAATTGAATTTTTAACTTTATTTTAGTTTACTTGGCTGTTATTTCAGTTGTGAAAACTATTTCACTTGGAATTTGCTCTAGATTATACTCTTGTGAATGTGTCATTTAAAATTTTCTTTCAATTAGCTTTAGCTCTACTTGGAATTTGCTTTATTTGAATTTCGCATAGTTCTGAAGTTATACTTGAATTGGATTTTACTCTATCTGTGTATGTTTGAATTTTATTTAATGATAATTAGGTTTTACACATTTAGATTTTAAATGACATAACTTATAGAATTGTAATCAGCATTATCTCCGCCATGTTTAAACGCGTTAAATATATAAACCTTTTGCCCCATATATACACTCATGGATATAACCTAAGGAAGTATTAGCATGTATATCGGGATTCAGACAATAGAGCAGTATATATTGAAGTAGAAATTGTTGGTGTGCAACATCACTTGTGTCTCTTTATATGAGAACAATCGTCTGCGAAGAGATGTTCAAATCTTGTTCCATAACCCACAACTAATTGGACAGAAAATACCTGTGAATTGTCTCCATGGCGCTAAGTAAGGTAATTACAATTTAGGATATATTAATTCATAAAAGTCATACAAGCATATATACAATATATTCAAACAGACAACATAATTAATTATGTGCAAAATATTTGAATGCAGTTACATTTGAATATAACTAATGTTATTAAGTTCTGCTTCTTTTTGAGTTCTACTGTGGAATATTTAAGCATACAAATAATTAGCCACCGACCATTCCTTCAGTTTTCCAATGATCCAATTTACCTGATGGTGCAATGTCATGGACGCAATGTCGAATGACATGACACAATCAACATTCGCCAAATTCCTGAGCCTCTTTGCACGGAATGAAGTACAACACATTTTTATATTGAGATATAGGCCGTGGCTCTTCAGATAGGATTTAGCACAATCCGGCGATTCTGTATAGTCACCCAGAATATTCTTTCTTCTAGGACTTTAATTTGGTAGTTTCCCCGGTTTATTTGTTATTAATAAAAATCTCTAATACCTCGCTATACATATGGGGTTTATTCTCTAATTCCTGATAATACTTCTATTTCTTTAGTTTACACTCATAGACAAAGCTTAAGGAAGTTGTACCTTTTAGCATCTATATAGGTATTCAGACAATGACTATAAAATAAATTTGATACAAAGTGACCTCTTTATTGAAGACATATGAGATAACCAAGTGTGGACAAAATTGCTTCTGTCTCCTTCAAAAATGAAGATGCCCGCGGCGACACCAAGTACTTTTCACTTCCTTAATTTTTGTCAATGAGTATATATTAGGAAAGGGGCAAGCCACTTGTGTGAAAAAAGAAAGTGAGAAAATTTGTTTCGAGGATATTTTAAATATGAAAAAATGTCCATGAGTGTGAAATTCTATTGTTACAGATATACACAATATCGTTATTTTTCAATTTAATAGGCAAAATAAATTTGTATCTAACACGGACCTTAGATCTTGACTAAAAGAAATGTGAAGAAATCAAATTGTTCTGTACAATAGAATATACAGGATTAGAATTAAGGTCTGAACCTTTTTATCACAATAAACATCCAAATAGATCAATGAAACTCCTATAAATTATTAAAAAATGAAATATCTTTTCGTGAATTACTTTTGACATTTGGCGCAGTTTCATATATAAATCTGACCTATATATAAAACGTCTGAGATAAAAAAAGTCGGTTGTTATTTTAGAGGCCATTGCAGATCGCCATGTAATTCTCTGGTTGTGTTTTTTCTTGAATATCTTCATAAAAATTAGGTTTCTTCTTTGACATCATATTTATTGTCATTTCACACACAATAGAGTTTTTAATTTATAGTTTCAAAATAATTCGGTTAGAAATAAAAAGACACAACGAACGACAAAACCAGGAAATCCTAATCTAAGGCAATTTTTTATTTTTGTTAAAAAAAAGTGAATGTGATATCGGAGAGTCAATTAACCGTGTAAAGCCAAAGTAGAGTAGCAAGTTATGTTCCATTTGATTATCTCCATTTTTCTCAATTTATTTGAAAATATTCCACAAATCTTCATCTCCAGCATTACAACTACGGCTACAACAGACGGCTACACCTCTTGGACTGCCCTAAACAACTGCCCTATTGAATCTACAAAGAAACAAACCCTACTGGAAACACTTGGTGAACTGGTTCACTAAGGCTACCAAGACAGACTCCTAAACCGTAGGACAGCCTGGGTAGTTGGGTTACCTTTATGTTACTACTACTACTTTAACAGTTTATTTTTTAGAATATATATATGAATTTCATATAAAATGAAAGGATTTAAAAGCACGAATATTTCTTTTATACATATTACAAACGTCTACTGTAAGGGCAGTAGAGGTTTGTATTAGGTATAAAAGAAACATTCGTGCTTTTAAATCCTTTCATTTTATATGTATAGATGGCGCGTTATTGCTTTCTGTTAATATGAGTTCAATTCAATAATATTTTAAATCTATTTTTATAATCTCTTTTTAGATGTTATTGCTCCACTCAGCATGATATATAATGCAATTATATTGAACATTTTAATGGGCCAAATGAACGACGGCCTATTTCATTAATAATATATCCAATTATTCGATGGGGATAAGATCTTATTTCTAAACAGTGGGAATGTTTAATTTTAAAGTTGAAATATCTTTATATTTTTTTAAATAGAGCAATACATACTTAAATCATTAGATCATAAAAGGGCATATATTGGATTGAATACAAAGATTTATTTATTAATATATGCTTTTATATATATACTAGCCGAATGACCCGGGCAACTCCCGTGTTTTACCCGATTGAATGTTTTGATTCAAATACTATCTGTTACAATTATGAAATGTGGTCATTTTATTGTGGTCATGGCATCTGCCCGGTAAGCGGAAGGTCGTGGGTTCGATTCCCATCCCTTGACACTTTTTTATTTTATCCATTCTGACCAAAATCTATCCGTGAACTTCACACATTGAACTTCACACAGTCAGAATAAGGCAATTATATAAGTAGATATATTAGTAGCAACATAAAGGTAACCCAGGTTCCTGGAGCGTATCCATAGATCGCCAACTACCCAGGTTGTCCTGCGGTTCATGAGTCTGTCTTGGTAGCCTTAGTGATCCAGTTCACCAAGTGTTTTTTAGGATGGTTGGCTTCTTGGTAGAATATATCTAATATCAACATATATAGTCACGACCGTCTTTCCTCAATTCCTCATCGGCCGCTGTCACGGATGCGCGCGCATCATCATTATGATCATTATCATTATCTAATGATAATAATAATAATTATTATTATTATATTATTATTATTATTATTATTAATATATATAGTCACGACCGTCTTTCCTCAATTCCTCATCGGCCGCTGTCACGGATGCGCGCGCATCACCATTATGATCATTATCATTATCTAATGATAATAATAATTATTATTATTGACGTGACAACGTCTTAAATTAGGTTGCGGCTGGGAGTCACTTATGAAAAAGTGTAACGCCCGGTAACGTTACGATGAGTCATCGAACGAGAGTGCTGCGCGCGCAGCGCTAGAGAATTAGGCGCATTGAATCGGCGCATGCTTGTCTCTGTCTTTGTCTTTCTCGAACGTTCTTGGCGTTGGAAAAACAAGAAAGCGTCATAATACAAGTTCACACGTGTGGTTAAAGTATCGTCAGCTGTGTCTGTAGTGAAAATGTGGAGTGCTTAGATTCGTCATTTACAACAACTACAACAATAAAGGTAAATAATTGTACACTGATATTTCATTATCGTAAACTATGATTGATTGATTAATTGTTAGATTGACACAAAAGTTGAGAAACTGAGTTTATAGGTTATGTCATACTATTGATAAATGTTGATAGTGTTAAGTAAATTATTAGTTTAAAATTAATTAATTAATTAATTATTATTTTACAAATTTTAAATAGTTTCAAATTTATTTAGCAAAAATTTGAACCTTCGATCTGAATAAATGTTTTGATTTTCGAATTGATTCTTTAAAATTACAAATATTAAGAAAAAGTGGCAGATATAAGAAAACTTTATTTAAACTGTGTTGAGCAAAAATTTTAACATCTAATTTAAGTAAATGTTTTAATTTTCAACTTCATCATTTACAATTACAAATTTTATTTAATTTCAAATTTATTTAGCAAAAATTTGAACCTTCGATCTGAATAAGTGTTTTGATTTTCAAATACCAACGCGGCTGGTGGAGTGGCGATCTATCGTAAATTATCATCGACACCTACGGCGGAAGTGTTCCAAGTTGCGATTACAGACGTAACTCGTGTCATTAAAACCAAGGGTGACATGTGCATGACTGAAGTTACTTGCTTCGCCGCTAATACTAGCTTCAAGTTTATACTCGGTGCTGTATATATTCATCCAGGAGCTAGTATGCAGGATATTGGAATGTTACTATGGCAAGGACTCGGTCCGTACATTCACAACAGCCAGTACGTGCCACCGTTCGTGCAAGTTGATTCTAGTATACCGATTCTTCTGTGTGGTGATTTTAACAAAAACGTAAAGCCTGACAACTCGTTTCTTAATATCATGAAAAATACGTATAATCTTGATTGCGTATCAAACGTTTCTAAGTCAACTACGTTAAAAGGAACAACTATCGACTTGACTTTCGCAAGACACATTACAGCAGAAACACTTCCTTTCATTTCATATTTCTCCTATCATCGTCCTATCCTCAACAAAATCACTCAAATAGGAATTAGTTAAGTTTTAGTTTACATGTACAATGTTTTAGTAAACAAAATATATTTCAATAGTTAAAATTTGTGCAATTCTTATTTTCATTCAATTCCTTGTTCCTATTGTGCAATTTAATTATATTCATATCAATAAATATTCTACCGTTGTCACGTAAAATCTTCGCCCGTAAAACCGACTTTACAGGCAACCATTTTTTTAATATATATAGTCACGACCGTCTTTCCTTAATTCCTCAATTCCTCATCGGCCGCTGTCACGGATGCGCGCGCATCATCATTATGATCATTATCATTATCTAATGATAATAATAATAATAATAATTATTATTATTATATTATTATTATTATTATCAACATATATAGTCACGACCGTCTTTCCTCATCGGCCTCAGTCACGGATGCGCGCGCATCATCATTATGATCATTATCATTATCTAATGATAATAATAATTATTATTATTATCATATTATTATTATTATTTTATTATCAACATATATAGTCACGACCGTCTTCCCTCCTCAATCAATTCCTCAATTCCTCATGTCACGGATGCGCGCGCATCATCATTATGATCATTATCATTATCTAATGATAATAATAATAATTATTATTATTATATTATTATTATTATTATTATCAACATATATAGTCACGACCGTCTTTCCATCGTCAACAATTCCTCAATTCCTCATGTCACGGATGCGCGCGCATCATCATTATGATCATTATCATTATCTAATGATAATAATAATAATTATTATTATTTTATTATTAATATATATAGTCACGACCGTCTTTCCTCAATTCCTCATGTCACGGATGCGCGCGCATCATCATTATGATCATTATCTTCTATAGAAGCTTCTATCTTTATAATTATGTATATTTACAAAATGTCAATTCGCTCGCGCCTCTAGCGGTGAAAATGAGGGGTAATACCAGCTGACCTAATGTACATGTAAAGTTTGGAGCGGGACGTTTCACAAGAGTGACATCCACGGCTCCAATTTATAATTGTAACAAATAGTATTTGAATAAAAACATTCAATCGGGTAAAACACGGGCGTTGCCCGGGCCATATATATATAGTCACGACCATCTTTCCTCAATTCCTCATCGGCCGCTGTCACGGATGCGCGCGCATCATCATTATGATCAATATCATTATCTAATGATAATAATAATAATAATAATTATTATTATTATTATTATTATTATATATAGTCACGACCATCTTTCCTCAATTCCTCATCGGCTGTCACGGATGCGCGCGCACAGGGAGGTCACGTGCTCGCCGGCAGCCAACGGGCGCGCGCCGCCGGCATTACGTCATAGATTATAAACACAAGGTAATAAGGCCAAATAAAAAAATAGTGTGTGATAAGGCACAATTTGGATTATCTACTTATATAATTGCCTTATTCTGTCTGTGTGAAGTTCATTGTGTGAAGTTCACGGATAGATTTTGGTCAGAATGGATAAAATAAAAAAAGTGTCAAAGGATGGGAATCGAACCCACGACCTTCCGCTTACTGGGCAGATGCCATGACCACTAGGCTACCCTGGACATATTTTTCGTTCACATTTTTATTTTTATATTTTCAAGACACACATAGTTTGGGGCGGGACGTTTCACAAGAGAGACATCCACGGCGCCAATTTATAATTGTAATGAATAGTATTTTAATTAAAACATTTTAAAAATATATACGCACTCGGGTAAAACCCGGGCGTTGCCCGGGCCATTCGTCTAGTATATATATAGTCACGACCGTCTTTCCTCAATTCCTCATCGGCCGCTGTCACGGACGCGCGCGCATCATCATTATGATCATTACTAGCGGTGAAAATGAGGGGTAATACCAGCTGACCTAATGTACATGTAAAGTTTGGAGCGGGACGTTTCACAAGAGTGACATCCACGGCTCCAATTTATAATTGTAATAAATAGTATTTGAATAAAAACATTTAATCGGGTAAAACACGGGCGTTGCCCGGGTCATTCGGCTAGTATTTATATATATATATATTGAATACACTTATTATAAAAAATTGAAAAAGTATTTTCATGATGAAGATAGATGAAATATAACAACAAAATAAGCTTTGAATTGGCTTATAACGATTTTTAAGTTCGTAACTCCATGAAGAATTGAAGTTAAAACTTAACATTTTTGGAATTGAGGTCCCAAATAACGCTCCAAAAATCAGCTTCCAACAGGATTCGAGCTGATATAATCGACACAGATATATATTTAGACAATAAAATGGCATATATTTATTGAATAAAATATTTATTTGCTAATATTTCGATTATATTTTCGTATAAACATTAGTGTTATAACACTATGCGGCGCCGAGTTTGTTTTTACAAAAGGGTAAGGCTTTGACAAAAGTTGGGGTTCAGCCAATCGAAATATTGGCAAATAAATTTTTTATTCAATCCAATATATGCCTTTTTATTATCTAAAGATTTAAATATGGATTCCTCTATTTTCAAGGCAGATATTTATGTCGAGTTTTGCCACTCTAATGTTACTAATACAATTTTACTTGTATCTTAATTTACATGGAGAGATACACTTTTTCCAACTGGGAAATATACTTTATTTTGGTTCTACCTGGACATGCCATTATTAAATTTTGATTTTAAAAAATTCACTTTACTTGGGTTTTTACACCTTACCCCTTTGTTACTTGGCTATTTCTTCACACCTATATGTATTTCACATATTTTACTTAACTTTTGATTTATTTATTTCAATTTTTAAAGCGCTGTCCCCTTAGGGACACTAGCGCTGTCATACATGTATACCTCTACATTTGTCAATACATATTTACAATAATTTCAGGCCGTAAAGATTAGTCATATGAGATATTAACAAAGAGAGACAAAAAATAAACATTGTCATCAAATATTTTATTTGAAACATTCGTTCAATATTATGGAAAGAGAAGAGAAGAAAAATAATATGTAAGAGTTTAAACATTCTAAGGACAAATGAAGTTTTTTTTTTCTTAACTTGTATTTTACATAATTTTATGCTACTTGAGTTTTATTTACCTATTTGTATTACTTATATTTTTCTTAGCTTGTATTTTACATAATTTGGTGTTACTTGAGTTTTACTTACCTATTTGTATTACTTATATTTTTCTTAGCTTGTATTTTACATAATTTA